ATTTTGTTTACAAAAGTTAACAAAAATGTTGAAATATTGCGCAAATTGACTTAAAATACTCTCTCTCTCTCTCTCTCTCTCTCTCTCTCTCTCTTACTCACTCACTCTTTTTCCCACTCGTCTATTATAATATGCAGTAAAATTTAATTGATAAAAAATTGGTTGATATAATAATAATAGATTAAATTATATATTTTAAAATGATGTGCAAAATGTGTAAATATGGTATTTTTAGAAAAAGTTTTTAAGTCAATGTCCAGCACTTATATGGCATTTCCGATGAAAACTATTTTTAAAATGATACTTTTATTTTATACTAACTTATAATAACATTAACTATACTTTTGACGCCAATCAAAAAATTATTAGATTTAAAATAAAATTATATGAAAATGAAACAAAGATTCAAACCATAAAACACACAAAACTTGTATTTCAAGTCCATTCAAACGGAAAAATTACAAAATTAGATGAAATCTTTTGGTTTTTGTTTTCAAAATGCGGTAAAAATGTTTTTTGTTGCAAATATTTGCTCACTTATTGTTTGTCACTTTTGTTCATTAGTCGTGTCGTATGTATTAATTAAAACAATTTTATTGTTTAATTAATATTTAAAAAATGTATAAACTTTTTGTAAATTTGTTTTTAATTTTAGTTATATTCACGAATAGTTATAATTATGTAAATTCATTAGAAATAAAAGACAAAACATTTTATGAACAAAATTGGATTCAAATATTTAACACATTTAAAACATTTGGCCATAATTTTAGCGAAAGTTTCATAAGTGATATCGAGGAAAATGAAAATAAGCTCAATATAACACCCGTTTGTGCCAATAGTTTAATCCAAATGTTTGACTCAATGATTACTGAAGAATGGGCCGCAAAAAGTATGTAAACTGTATTTGTTTTATGAATATAATAATTAATTAAATTAATTGAATTAATATTGAAGTGATTGACGCAAACGGACGCCTGCCGTCGGGTGTGTTGAAGGGAACGCTCACTAGTTTTGGTGACTTTGATGAGTGCATTCATATTCATGTAATCAGTAATGAAAACAATACAAGAATTAGAGGAAAGTATTGTTTTGTGACAATTAGACCTTTGAGAAAACAAAAGTTTGAGTCAATACAACTCAATAAAACACAAATTACCAGTAAATGGTTTGAGGATGAAGTGAATCAATGGCTAGAAGTGGACAATTATTTGCCATTTGCTAACGGAATATGCTTTCCATCCGTTTGTCATCGAAATGAAATCAAACTTCTTTTAGGCGAAAGTATTTAATAAAAATGAATTCAGTTTTGTTAATAGTTTTAAATAATACATGTTTTTACTTTCAATAGGTTTTAAAGTATTAAATAATTTTGATTTTGATGTGAATTATTGTCAGACAAGTAACGATCCACCGGTTCGGCGAACGGAGATCTCAGTGGCATTGTATGAAACTTTTAAGCATACAGTATATCGTAGGAGTGCCCAGAAAACCTATGATTCAATGTACTTATGCAAGTTTACATAGTAAAAATGAGTCTAAATCGTGTCTGGGGCACTCATAGTATATTGTATTACTGTATAATTAGTGGTAACTTTTATACAAATTACTAATTAGCGATATATTTATTTTACAGAATTATGATTGAATTGAGTGTATTATTAGTGATTACGGGAACAATAATCGATATGTATGTGACAAGAGATCTACTCGTGATAAAACTTCTCAAGTGTTTCTCATTATTAAAAAACTTGAAAATATTGTTCAAAATCTCTGCCNATTTATTTTACAGAATTATGATTGAATTGAGTGTATTATTAGTGATTACGGGAACAATAATCGATATGTATGTGACAAGAGATCTACTCGTGATAAAACTTCTCAAGTGTTTCTCATTATTAAAAAACTTGAAAATATTGTTCAAAATCTCTGCCCTCAAGAATAATAAGAGTGAATATCGTTTGCAATTCATTCACGGCATACGAGTGTTGGGCACTCTATGGGTTATATTAGCGCATTCCAGTGGTTATGTTCTCATCACTGTTTTGACACAAATCTCGCCGTTTGCCAGATATCCGGAGGACGCCATCGACAGCAGCAAATCACTGGTCTCTCAATATATACTTAACGCTTCACTTTCTGTCCAAATATTTTTCATAATGAGGTAATTGTGACATTTATATGATTTATTTTTATGTAATACTTACGTAAATAGTAAGCTTAAACACAATTTTATTTTATAGTGGTTGTTTAACTGTCTATTCGACCCTGTCCAATAAGAAAATGAATATTAATTTTACCCAGTTCATTTTGCTTCGATGGCTTAGGTAAAGAAGTGATAATACATTATTGTATTATTTATAGAAATAAGTAATTATTAACAATTAATATCAGATTTACTCCACCTCTGGTCGGAATGATGTGCTATACCATAGCGTTACAAAAGTTTGGTTCGGGACCACTGTTTCAAACAGATCTATTAAAGCCATACTTAGATCCCTGTTATGACAACTGGTGGGCACACGTACTCTATTTCAGCAATTGGTATGATTTCAGACAAATGGTTTGTACAAAAAACATTGTCTTATATTAATTCAAATGATAAATGTGTTTAATAAATGAATATTTAGTGTGGAATCCAGACGTGGTATCTGAGCGCTGATTTTCAGTTACATATCATATCATTTGGTGTAATATATTTCTATACCAAAAATCAATCAATAAGTCGATGGTATACTTATTTGATGATTATAATTGGCTCCCTTTCCCCCATATTATTGGTCGGTTTAGGCTTCGGTGGCATTCCTAGAGTTGATGCACTTTTTAAACCCAAATATGAGTAAATATTAGATTTTATTATAATATAAAACTAATACGTTTATGAAAGTATATTTGTAATTTCTATTTATAATAATAATAATCTAATTCAGACTTCCGGTTCTGGAAACCACTCTATTCTTCTTTGGCACTCATATGCATCTGATTTCATACTTCTCTGGAGTTATTATTGGTTTGGCATTACTTAACAAACAGTTTATTTCTTTATCAAAGGTTTGTAAACTTATTTATTTTATAATTAAATAATTGTTTTAAAATCTTATTCTTCACTGATTTGTGACCAGACTTGGAATAACGTAGTTTGGCTGATAGTTATACTGTTGACAATAGCCATACCCGGCATCTCATACCCTATACTACAGGAAGACATACATCCAGTCAATAATACTGTTAGTAACGCTATTATGGTCGTGATTATGTTGATAACGTGGTCACTCTGTATGTCATGGATTATATACAACTGTGCGCTGAGTAGAGCCGGTGTTTTGCCAAAACTACTTTCGGCCAACTTTTTGCAGCCATTAAGCCGTTTGTCGTTTTGCGCATATTTAGCGCATTTAATGTTAATCTGGTTTAACGTAACACAGATTCGTAATCCCATTACAACTAATCCTATAACAATTGTAAGAAATTAATTACACTAATTATTGGTAAATGCTTTTAATTAATAATTATTTGTAATAAACCACATTAGGGTCAATATTATTGCGCTATAATTGTGGAGACATTTATGTTAGCGCTGGTACTCTATCTGACATTTGAAGCCCCGTTTGTAAACATAATTAAACTCATATTTTTGAGCCATAAGAGGGACAGTAGACGTGTGGCCGCCGATGAAGACATCGATCACTCCGTGAATTCACAAAATACTATTAATATAAATATGAAAAATCAAATTAATAATAATAATAATGATTCGGGTGGTTTTTGAATAAATGTTTTTTACAATATTCAATTTGACAATTATTTCAAGTTATGTTGTAATTTTAAGGTTAATTAATGGATTAAGTAAATATTTTTGAATAAAATTGTTTACTCTTTACATCACTTTCATGTAATAAATATTAATCAACAAAAAGTTAATTACATTTTTAATAAATTTTAATTATAATTAACCAGAATATGAGTCATAAATCACAAGAAACATATTATTCACATATTTGAATGTTTCAAACTTTCCATGAATTAATTATATTTAGTTATAAATATCAATAGTTAATTATAATTTTAAAAAATGCCATCAAATGCTATCATTATGATTGAGTTTTCGTTAATATAAATACAAATTATTAGAAAAGTAATAAATCAATGAATAAATACACAAACTATGAGACTATTAATTAAATTTACAAAATGAAAATAGGCTTTAAAAATATTTTTACAAATTATTTGTATCCAAGAATAGCGTACAAAATGTTTGTATTTTTTATTTAAGAAATCTAAAAATATTTTTGCAAAATATTACTGGATTTCAGGCGTAATGACATTTAAATACATGTATAATGTTTGTATTGTGTATTGCAGTATATTATAAAATACATGCTTTTAATATTCGTGATGAAAACATACTTTTAACGGTTAATTAAATTTATGAACATTTCTTTATAAAATACTCATTTGAATTGAAATCATCTAAAAAATATTTGTTTTTACAGACTTTTTAAGAATGTAATATTATATGCAATCATTCAGTCTGTGATTCATATCCTTAGAGTAAATATAGAATAAAAAGCAAAACTTTTTGAATAAAAATTGTTATAATATTTGTTTTACTTAAACACAAGTGAATTGAAAATTTGTTAAAAATGTTTGCAAAGTTAGTGTTAAATGTAGTATTGATTCAAATTGTGGTAAACAATTGTGTCAATTGCGTTACAATGCATGACTTTATGGCGCCCAACACTGTCAGAGCCGGCGATAATATGATGCTTAACTGTTCGGTCACTTTCACACCCGAAGAGCGCATGAATTCAGAGATAACTATCAGCAAAGATGGACAGGAATTTTATCGATACAGCATTAAAAGTATGTAATCTTTCAATTTGTCACACTATGTATCAGTACTCATAGAAATGTTTAAAAATATAGTAAAAAATGATGTTTACTTATATGTTTGTATTGAATTGAAAGAATATTCTGTAATTGTATGACATATTTATAGACATTAAAGAAGAGCTAAAGTCGATCCCCGGTATAGAGAGTAAGCAAATGGATCCGATGAACGTTCCGGGTTGGGTGCGGCTCAAGGAGGCCAACCGACACTTTCAGGGCAATTACGCCTGTGTTGTCACCACTAATGTCAACAATAATCTCTCGCAACAGTCGGCGAATAAATACGTGGCTTTTGACGCATCGATGGGTGAATTCAAGCGCAAGAATAACGCATCAAATGTCACATTCTTTGCCACTAATTATTTCGCTATCCTTTTATTTCTGTTTCTCTTCTCATAAACTAATGTATAATTTTTTGAATATATAAAACTCATGTCATTTTTATTATAACAGTTTAACATCCGTAAGGTTTAATTATTGTGATGTATTTTATAACGTTTTAAATGATATGAATACACATGTATTTTTTAGAATATTTTTATTTACTAATTATTATATTTTGTAACTTGTTGTCACTTACTTATCACTTATAAAGTTGCCATTTTATCATGTTATCTAATTAATTAAGTATTCAGATAAAATACTGAATTTATTTTTTAAATGTTGCAATCAATAATTATTAATAAATATTAATTAGTATAATTTTGTAATACTTGTCAATTTTATTGTACAGTAATAAATAAAATAATATAATTAAAATATATCATTATAGTCTAATAATTCATAAAATTCAGATATCTATCATGAGAATTAATTTATATAATAAAATTAAAATCATATAAACTAATAAAACAATTGTATTTTGTCGTATTTTAATTTAATTAATGTAAAGTACATAATATGTACATTATACATGTACATTATACAGTATATGTAAATTTATATTGAAATAAAATTAGTTATTATGAGTGAACATGATGTATGTTACAATAATTTTTATTTATTCATAATAGGATAAGACATAACAATGAGATTCTGTTGACATCAAAGGCACTGATTTATTATCGATTTTATGATGAAATATTTTACCCGATGTTTGTGTACTAAATTTATCCTAACAAATAATGAATGTATAATTAATTTCCATTTAAGTAATTAGATTTTTTTTGGCCTTAACTGTATTTTATGGTACAGCACTTATGAAATATGTAAACATAATCCTACAATGTTCTTTTATTTATTATTATTTATTAATAAGTAAATCATTAAGTTATTATTTCAAGCACACAATTTTATATAAAATTGGTTAAAATCATATGAACTTGTTTGAAAAATTTAATTTTTATATAGAATTGTAATTAATTGTAGTTAATTCTCAAATGAATTTAAAATTAGCTGTAATTCCAGTTAAGTATTTCTTAAATGTTTATTTAGTTCAACATAATGAATTTTGTATATTAAATAGCAATTTCCAATTATATATTTTAACAATCAAAATGAAATTTGTGGTACATTTGTTGATTTCCTTTACTTGTTAAGATATAAGTTTAATATAAGGTAAATATAAATTATATTTATTAATCTTTATTACAAATTATAATATTAATAATTAATAATAATAGTTATGAATTCGTGAGACCAAACAAAAATGGATGGTTTGAATTGATGGAAATTTTGGCAAAAAATGTAAGCTTTATTAAATAATTGATTGCATAACTAATTAATTATTATAATTGTTGTATGAATAGGAGTCAGACATGTCATTAACACCGATAGTTCCCAGTTATGAGAGACAACAACTATTTGACTTTTCAAAGATCATATTTTTCAGTTCATATGTTATATTAAGTCAATCACATAAATACGAGTCCAATAGCAATATATTGGATCATTTGGGTTATATTCAATGGGATGTTTGGCTCGGATTGTCGTTTATATGTCTGCTTATAATGTTTTTGAGTATTTTGGATACATATCTGTTTAAAAGATTGAGACAAATTCAGTTTTGGCATATTATTCGTCTTCATGTAAATCAATGTAAGAATATTAAAATTTTATAGTATATTTACATTGTATGTATGCATCATACGGTATATACAGTACAGTACATGTATACAGTTAGTCAATTAATGACATCTAAATTTGCTTCAATTACAGATTATGTATTCAATATTAAGCTGAATTCAATAACAGCATTAGTATCGTTATATATATTTTGTTTTACATCCATATGTATTCTCTTAAACCAATTAATTGGTGTCCGAATTGTTGTCACCAATCGTTACAATGAAATCAATTCAATCGAGAATTTAGTAAAAAGCAATCAAATTATTCCCTCTATTTATAAATCAACATCACTTGAGACTTATTTTCAGGTTTGTTCACGTGTTTTATGACATATTATTTGCAATAAGTGTAAAATAAACTAAACTAAACTAAACTAACTTAATCAATTACCAAAACAAGAATGAATCCCATTCTAAGACATTTCATAACCAAATTTGGGCACTCATTGAAGACAATAAAAAGGTGTCATTACGTGTTGTGCCGGACAAAGTGGGCAAAGAGACTGTCGGTTTCAATGGCGTATTCTTTGACCACTTAAAACGTGGTCGTATAGCGTTGTTTGAGCCTGATTACTTGACCGAATTTGTCAAGGACGTCTATTGCCGTAGAGTGGAGGACATGCAATGGCATCTGTCGCCACCCATTGATGTCACTCCCATTAGGTTCGCCTTTGGTTTCAGCAAATCATTTAAAAAGACTACATTCATAAATAACATGTATGTAGTTTACATTGGTGTGAACTAGAATCTAGTTACATTTAGTTACTAGATCTAACTGAGTTGACTGAATGTAATTGTATTATTATCTATGACGTTTAAATGTTACAGTTGTTTTATTTAGTGTCCAGAATTTGATATCCAATGGTTTGATAAATCGTTGGTTTTTGAGCTCGAGTTCTGTGGCCGAGGTTTTTGGTGGCAATACTACTCGAGACTGTAAATCACATGAGAAAGTAAAGGAAAGGCCAACCTTTATACCAATAAAATTGTATAACTTTCAAAATTTTATGTATCTGTTGAACACAATGTTATTTACGGCTGTTTTAGTATTGATTGTGGAAAATGTCAGAAAATATTGCGATAAATTTGAAATAATTATAGTCAAAAAGAATTATTACTAATATATGTTAGATTCCGGATAATTACATATTTATTATATCATAACAGAGACAATGTTTTATTCTTTGTAATACTGTTATTATTGGTGTAGAAGTATTGATATTGTAATATATTTTCAGAATATTATTTATCAATATATTGTATCATTAATTTTGACTGAATTCTTACCTGAATTGACACCAATAAACCAATAAATTAGAAATTATAACTTTGTTATTTAGTGAGTGAGTGAGAAAGAAGAGAGAGAGAGAGAGAGAGAGAGAGAGAGAGAGTATTTTAAGTCAATTTGCGCAATATTTCAACATTTTTGTTAACT